CTGAACCTGGAGCTCACTATTTCAGTTAAACGGGCTGGCCAGTGAGCCCCTAGAATATACTTGTCTCTCTGTCCCCATTCAGTACTTGGGTTATCAACAGGCACATTACTGTGCCCAACTTTCCTCTGGTGGTGCGGATCCAAACTCAGACCCTCATTCATGTGCAGAGAGCGTTTTCCTGACTGAGCCATCTCCCCAGCTGAATAATTTGTTTTTGCTACTCTATCAAGTGCGTTCTTTTCAAATTCCTTTCCGATTACTAAGTGTAGTAATACATTGTATCCTGCTGAATCCACCTATTAGTCCTAGCAGTTTTCTCGTGGGATCCTCCGGGTTTTCTTTATTAAGGTTGTATTATCTATGAATAAAGATAGCTTTACTCCTTCTTTATTTTGAATGCCTCATTATTTCCCTTGCCTAATTGCTTTGTCTAGAACTCCCAGTGGCTGTGCTGAACAAAGTAGTGATGAAGCAGGGTTCTCGCCTGTTCCTAAGTTTAGAGGAACCATTTTTATTCTTTCCCTAACGGGTATGTTTGCTGTGGGTTTATTATGTCTAGGTAGTTCTCTCTACTCCTAGTTAACCACTTTTTGTCACGAAAGGATGTTTATTTAGAATTTTGTCAAATGTTTTTCCTGCATCAGTTGAGATTATCACGTGATATCTTTCCTCCACTCTGTTAGTAGTGCATTATATTTGCTGATTTTCATACACTGAATCATCCTCATATCCCAGGAATAACTCTCACTTGGCTAATGGTAGATCATCATTGGTGTGTGTGAGTGTGTGTGTGTGTGTGTGTGTGTGTGTGTGGTGTGGTGTGCACATGTACACGTGTGGGCATTCATGTAGAAGCCGGAGGCCAGCCTTTCTGTCATTCTTCAGAGCTGTCCACCTTTGTTTTTTCTTTCCATTGTTCCCGCTGTTACACTTTTCATTGGCTGTGTGTGTGTGGGGGGGGTCATGGGCACATGGGTGGTGGCAGGCATTCTGCTGTCCGAGAACTACTTTGTGGGGTAGTTAAGCAGACCTCACCTTTCTCCTTCCACCTTTATGTGAGGTCTGAGGCTCAGACTCGGGTCACCAGACTTGTGTGCTGAGTGCCTTGACCTACTGACTTCTTACCTTATGAAATAGGCTCTGTCACTGGCCTAGAGTGCACCAGGGGACTCACCTGTCTGCCTCCACAATGTTGGCTTTTATTTTTTTTTTTTTAAGGAGGATGCTTGGGGTCAGACCCAGGTCCTCACACTTGTACAGATATCACTTTACCCACTGAGTCTCCCCAGCCCAGATATAACCATTTTAATATGCTATTGGGTTGAGTTTGCCAGTGTTCATTGAGGGTGTTTCTATCCAGTCCTTGAGGGACATTGGTGTATAGTTTTCTGTGTCTGACTAGTCTGGTGTCAGGGTAATACTTTTGTAGTTAGTTTGGGAGACTTAGAAGAAGATAGGTACTCTTTAAATGATAGAATTCATTCATCTGTTCAGATTTTCTGTGTGAGTGTGATTTAATCTCAGTAGGTTTTATGTTTCTAGAAATGTGTCTGTTAGATCCAGATTACCCAATTTATTAGGTGCATAATTGTTCCTTGTACTTTCATAATCCTTTTTATTGTCATATAATTAGAAATGATATCTCCACTTTAATTTGTGATTTAGGAATTTGAGTCTTTTCTCTTTGATTTGTCTATCTAAGTAAAGGTTCATCAACTTCTCCCCTCCCCCAAGAATCGTATTTTGGCTTTATTGATTTCCTCTATTGTCTGGTCTTTATTTCACTTTGCTCCTACTCTTTATTATTTTCTTTCTCCTGGAAGCTCTGGTTTAGTGCATTATTTTTCTAGTTCCTTAAGTTATAAAGTTAGTTTGATAATTTGAGATCTATTGTGATTCTTAATTTTTAAAATTTTGTGGGTATATGCATGTGTGTACAAGTGCAGGTGCCTGTGGAGGTCAGAGGCAGCAGGTCCCCCTGAAGCTGGAGTCACAGGCAGTTGTGAGCTGGGAACCAAACTCCAGTCCTCTGCAAGAGCAGCATATGCTCTTAACTGCTGTTCTGTCTCTCCAGCCCCCATTGCGACTCTTTATTTTTTTTCCATTGTGACTTTTTAATGTAAACATGTATGCCTATAGATTTCCCCTTAATGGTGTTTTTACTGCTACCTGCTTCTTGATCAGAAGTCAGTGATCAGAAGCAATAGTTGTGATTGGAACACCAATTTCTGAGATTTGGAGGGAGGAAGCCTGTATGCCCATGCTCTTTCCTGGCATTTATGTCAGATTGTTCTGGGAACTTGTGCACACTACCTGCATGGAGCTCAGTCTGGTGGGCTGGCACCAAGAGTGGAAACTGACTGAAGCTCCACGTTGACTGTGTATCACAATAGTTATTGCAGACTCATTTTGTCGGTGCAGTATTGCTCAGGTAGAAAGCTCCCACTGCCTCTCACACTGACTGCCACCTTCCCCCAGGTCTGTCATTTAGTTGTCCTGGACCATAGTCTCTTAATTCCATTTCCTTAAGGGATGGTTTCGTTTCCTCTTTAAGGGAGTTTTTAATTTCCTTAAGGGCCTCTATTATCTTAAAGTCATTTTTAGGATTGATTTCTTCTGCCTTGGTATGTTCAGGTCTTGCAGGTGTAGAATCACTAGGTTCTGATGGTGTCATATAGGTCTTTATGTTGTTGCCTGTATTTTAGCACTGGCATCTACCCATCTCTTCCTCTGCTGGGTGCAGGTGGTGTCTGTGTCTGAGGGTGCCTCTCTTATTCCAATTGATAGTCTTGGTCCACTGGGAGTACTTGGTCGAATCGGTGCTGGGCTGTTTCTCCAGGAGCAGTTTAGTCCAATTGGTGTTAGTGGGTTCTGTCTCAGGAAGCAGCTATTCCCAATTGGTGCAGGGTGCGCTTATGGCTCCGGTGTTTGTTGGGTTCACAGGGGCTGGTTTTTTTGGTGAGGGAGCAAGGAAAGGTAGCTGCCTGGTCCCTGGGGCTCCAATAGCTGTGGGGAGGGGCAATTGCCCCCAGGGCCTAGGGGCTAGAGACCTGGTCTGCCCATCCGGAGATGGGGCCTTCCTTGTTCCCCATTGGTGTAGGGTGGGCTTATGACTCTGGTAATCTGGTTCAGTGGCTGGATGGCTCCTTCTCTTGTGTTCTCAGGTCACACTCTGCTCGCTCCTCAGCTGATCTTGTTTCCTCAGACTGCAGGCTGCAGGCTTCTGAAACCTCTCCCGTATGGATCTTAGCTGAACAGGTTGATTAGTAGGGTAATCTCACCAACACCTCCAAGTTGTTGGGCTTTGCGCGATCAATGGGCAGCTGGGTCCCGGGTCGGCCTCGGTCAGGATGCTCGGGTCCGTTCTGGTCGCATCCCATGGTAATGGTTCCTTCCCCGAGTGCTGGAATTAAAGGCTGACTATATTCTCTTTTTTTAAAAAAATTCTGGCTTTAGCATCTATTTATGCTCACTCTTACCATGATGTCCCACTGTAACATGTCCCAGGAGGGTGGGATCCTTGGGTACCTGTCCTCACCATTCACTTTTCCAAAGAATCTCCCTTCAATATTAGGTCTAAAATTGTTACATTCATTCCTCTAATTCCTTTAGAGAAACAAAATTATCATAAAGCAAATCAGAAACTTTATCAGCGGTTCATAATTGAATATTGGTGTCCTAGTTAGGGTTTCTACTGCTGTGATGAAACACCATGACCAAAAGTAACTGGGGAAGTAACAGCTTATAAATCTGTCGTCCAGGGAAGTCAGGGCAGGAACGGAGGCAGGAGGTGATGCAAGAAGCCATGGAAGAGGACTGCTCACTGGCTTGCTCCCTCATAGCTTGCCTGGCCTGCTTTCTTATAGCACCCAGGACCACAATGGGCTGGGCCGTCTCACATCAATCACTAATTTAGACTTGCCAGGAGGAGGCATTTCTCAACTGGGAGTCCCTCTTCCCAAATGACCTGGCTTGTATAAGATTGACATAAAGCTAACCAATCAGCTTTTCATAGTTAAAATTATAGGTGAATTACCTAAGCATATTTTGTTACATTTTTTTTGGCTTGAGAAGAGAGATGAACAGGAGATACTTTATAGGAAGTATCTAGTTGTAGGGTTGTTGTTTTAGATATGGATCACACTGTCACCCAGGGGCTTAAGGTAGGAATCTCTTCAGCACATGGGATCTTAGATTCCAAAATCTGTCTCTTTTCCTAGGCTGAGCTTTGTCAGAACAGGAATCAAGTGTGTGTGTATGTATGTATGTATGTATGTATGTATGTATATACATATATATACACACGCGCGCGTATATATACGTATATGTATATATATTCTTCTAGAAGACTAGTACTGTGTGTCTGTACATAGATATACATATATATCCTTTGGGGAGGGGTATATAGTGCATGTCTGTCCATGTGGTGGAGGTGTATGTGAGTGCACATGTATGTAGAGGCCACAGGTTAACTTTAGGTATCTTCCTCCATGACCTTCTACCTAACTTTTTGATTATTGTATACATGTTGAGCAGTTCTCTTAAAGTTAAAACAATCTAACAAAAGACAGCACCACTGAGATTAGCTACATTTTCTTTCTTCTTTTCTATTTTTTCAGAATCTACAACTTAATGTCCTCAGCTGGGCACACCTTTAATCCCAGCACTCAGGAGGCAGAGGCAGGCAGATCTCTGAGTCTGAGGTCAGCTGGTCTACAGAGCAAGGTCCAGGACAGCCAGAGCTACACAGAGAAACCCTGTCTCAAAAAAAAAAAAAAAAACACCAAGAAAAAAAGTTATACAGAGCAAGCAACAGACAGTCACCCTGAGATCAACCCACTTTCATTCTTTCCTATTCTCATTTTTCCTGGGGGCTTAAAGTGTGTGGTTGCAATTCCTCTTACTTAACTAATATTTATGTAATTTTAGAGTAGATATTTTACTTTTATCTGTGACACTAAGTGGAGAGAGAAAAATATAAGCAATTCTCTTTCTTACAGGTATCAGAAACTGATGTGCAATTTGGCCCGATGAGATTTCATCAAGACCAACTTCAGGTACTATGCTGAAATGATCACATTTCAAATTTCTTTAATGAGAGGATGCTTAAAGCTACACATTTAAGATATATGTTCTTCTATGTAGATACTAGCACTAGGTCACAGTTAAATTTCTTCCATTGGTAACAATGTTGTAACCCTTTCTTTAGGAATACATGCTGAGATTAAAGCTTAGGGTTGCAATAAAAGGGGGAGTCTATAACTGTGCATACACTCCCATGTGTATACACGCTGAGAGGAGGCACAACCATACACTC